ATATAAACTGTCTCTTACAATCTCTAGCACCTTACATGGCAAAAACTTACGACCAAGCCTTGTCCTGTCAGCCTCCGAATTCGTAGTCTAACTACATCACCTACGCTAAACGACCGAACTATTCTTCCAACTCTTCCAAGCATTTTTTGCCTGATGTATTCCACATTGCGATCGATATTTTCCTGTACGCCTTGGCGAATGGCCTCATGCGTTTGATCCATGATTATTGATTCGTCACTAATATTATCATCCATAACGACAAGGTCATACATCATACGATCGATGCTTCGTAAACTAGATGATGCAGTGGGAAGAGCAAGGTTGTGTCGGGAATCTGAAATGTAATATTAGATACTGGCAAGCGCATAATAACAATTGAGGTTTCGAGGTCTTTATTTAGGCACAGCATAATAACAATTGACACTTACAATAAGTACTGAAAAATGGCACGAAAATCGTTGAATAGCGATAGGACCTATTACTATAGCTTAGAATATTCGATGAACTTTTCCGTCCATTCCCAAATTGGCATGAGCTGTTTACCCATTTTTATATTAATATTGACATGTTGTGCATCATCCATCAGATCTCGTGACTTATAACAGAACGCACGCCAAATCTAACCATAATAATAAATAATAGCTTTCAATATAAAACGTGAAATATGCGGCGTTACGGCTGACATGCTTTTTCATTGCCCCAAAGATGATAATTAGTTTAAAAAGCAAGTTATCAGATGACATTAAATCTCTGTACGAAGAACCCTACGGCGCGGACGTTACGATACAAGTTGGAGAGGGATCTGCCTCCAAAATTTTTCGCGCACACAGATTAATTCTATGTGCGCGTTCGCCGTATTTTAGTAGAGAATTATCTTGCGATAAAGACGCTCAAGATGCCTCAGAGGAAAAAAGTTCGTTTGCAATGATCATTGAGCAAATCCAGCCTTTGATATTTGAGATTCTACTCCAGTATGTATACCTAAATTGGTTCATATGTTTGCTCGTGGTGCAAAAGCGTAACCCATATTTTTCACAGATATATGTACACGGGAATTATTGATATGAAAGATGACTTGAACATCTGTCTTGAAACAATCGATGCAGCATATTGTCTGGAGCTGACGTACTTGGCAGATAAAATTCAGAATTCTTTAACTAAGAATGAAAATCTTATACAAGAGCATATTGTAAAAGCAAGTCGAACAGCTTCAAAACGAGATGATCTGAAAATTCTTGACGACTTTTGCAAGAAATTTGCCGAAAACTCACCAGAAGTCATATTTGCAGCAAAAGATTTTCAAGATATAGACAACGAAACCTTGGTTAAGTTATTAGAGCGCGATATTGATTTATCGGAAGATATAATATGGGAACGAGTCCTCCAATGGGGGGCATCGAAAAGAGCGGATCTAAGACTTGACTCCGTAAGGGATTGGTCTGCTGCGGACATAGACTATATGAAGGAGGTTCTAAAAGACTGTATCCCGCTCATACGGTTCTTCTACATAGAAGAAAATGAATACCTGGAAAAAGTTTTACCGTTTTTGCATCTGCTGCCTAATCAGCTGTGGATGGATATCGTAGCATTTAAACAGACTGGTGGACAATATAAACCAATATCGACAGTGTTACCTCCTAGAAAGAGAAATATAGCAAGCAGTCACCGGGGTCCTGATGTTAAGGAAGAGCGTACATGTGATCAAAATTATACAACATTGCCGAGTGTAAGTATCGCCAAATTAACTATTTATTGAATGAACTATTGATCAATTGTTAACCCCATTTTATCTAGGAGGCGATTAGCACCAAAAACAACGAAAAAATTGTACCTTTTGATGGCCTAGTGTCATCAATTCTTACACTGAACCAAAAACAGTGGCTAGTACAAAATATTGCCTCAAGGTTTGACAGACAGTATTGGCATTCGGTGGAAACTACCAAAATCAAAGCTACGCTTCTTTTTAAAGGTAGTGCCCACGAATATAAACCGAGTAAGTTTCATAAATATTGTGATAACCAAGGCCCTACTCTTTCGATCCTTAGCATTAAGGGGGAGGGAAATGAGATTATTGGAGGGTACAATCCTTCAAACTGGACAAAAAATGGAGGACATGCAAGGGCGCCTGAAAGCTTTATCTTTGCGTTACGTGATGACGGCAATATTATTAGTTGTTGTGATGATGTTAATTATGCTACGTATAATAATGCATCATATGGGCCGAGCTTTGGCAAGACCGATTTAATAATTAACCAAAAGTTCTCCACCAAAAACAGCAGTGCAGAACAATCATCGTATTCTAAGCCCATTCGGGAAAGCAAAACTTTTGCCGTTCGAGAGATTGAAGTATTCAAAATCAGCATTTAGCAACTAACTGTTTTATTTGTATTGCGACAATAAAAATTTCGCCTGTTCAAAAACTTCATAGTCAGTTACACGTTATGCAGGTCCGCAATAAATCAAATCTAATTTTTTATTTGACATGACTGCTAATACGGCCAAGACTTTTCATACTATTATTACGTCTGGTCGCCTGGAAGATCAAATTTGACCGGGGAATATTTTCAAAACTAGGTTCTAAACGCTGGTCTTGCGTCAATTAAGGTGTAGCTAATTCTTAAAGCAAGCTCTTTCTATATCCTATTCTGAGGTATAAAAATTCGCTCAAATATTTAACAAATATGTGTGTACCTATAACTGAACTTGATCTGATACTTCAGTGTTCGCTTATAGATGTTACTCTAACTTCCATAAGCTGGCTTACCTCAAAGTAGACGCACAAGATCAAACTGTTTCTATAATATAACTAATAATAATTCTTAGTTCAAGCGTGTTTTAATTATAAGAGGGCAATAAATTTCGACGCGTCTTTTTCAAGAAATTCTTTATACTCGTTCTCAGCGATTCTGAATGCATGAGTTCGGTTTAATTTACCGTCAGTTAGATTAATAGTTCGGATGCTCACAGCAATTCGATGGCGTTGATATTCACATCTAACACTATTAGCTTGGAATTTCTACCTTTAACACGTTGATCCTTATATTACAAGTGTTATGCAAACAAAAGAAAGACAATTGTTTAAATTAAGCATATAAAATAACATTTAAAGATTGAAAGCAGTAGATTTTATTATATGATATCCGTTCGCTATTTTTGCTACAGTATTGTCCCATTGAACGTATTAATATTATTCCACTCTTCAACCGTAAACCTTTTCACAATTCACAAGTTTACGTTTTCCTAACAATTGCTCAGAGGTTTCAATCTGGACTGTTAGTATAGAGGGCCAACCCATAGCTGTAGAACATTTCTTTGAAGAAATTCCTTGACGGTGCGATTAGTTTGCTAAAGCTCATTAATATTTATATACGACATTTTTACATTTCTGAGCAATCCTTTGTTTTAGTGTCTATAGAGTTCTAACGAATCGGATTATCTAATAACGCGAACGATATTAGTGCGTGAATGAAACAGCTCTGAGAACAACGCCCCCGTTCTAACAATTTAAAGACTCATACCTTTTAGAAGAGCGAGCTATAAGATTTAATTAGCTAGTCAAATACGAAAATCAAGAGTAGCTTTAGAATTTAATATTAAATTATTCCCCATAAAATTTGTTGTTATATACTAAATAACATATAAATCGCTCGAACTAAGTGAGGCGACTACTATAATAAGGCAGTAGTATGAGCTGACATTGCGAAAAGCAATTTAGATAGTCTTATGGGTATTTATTTCTCGAATTCTCATGAAATTCTCCAAAATAACTCTTTACTGACTTTAGATATTGCTAAAAAATACAACTAACTGATTCTAAACACTTCAATCTCCTTTACAGCAAATAAATGGGAATCTTGTCTAATGGGTTTGCTATATGCATCCTGAATTGCAGTATTAACCAGTGTAGAAAAACCCTGAGTAATAACCAAATCACTTGTACCAAAACTCGGTCCATAAGCTGAGTTACTATTGACAGCTCTGGCAGTCTTTGTGCATGTACTGAAAACATTACCACCATTCTGTTCTGATCTTAGTGCAAACAGAAAACTGTAACGTGTATGCATATGCCTTTGATGTGATCTGTTCCAGTTTAGTGGATTATAACCTCCAATGATCTCTTCAGTTCCCTTCACTTTAATGACTGCAAGTGTTGGCCCTTTATTGTCACAATAGTTATGAAAGATACTTGGTCTATAACCATCTTTGCTTCCTTGATAAAGAAGTTCAAATTTAGGTTTGTATTGTTACGGCAAGCTGATCTGATGAATCAGATAAGTAAGTCACATGGTAAAATCTTCCTCCGCAGTCAAACAACCC